TTGGTTTTAAAAATTACAAGAAACCTATTTTTCTTTACTTGGAAGATGGGATACAGAATATAAGGTTGTATGACTCCACATGACCCTTTCCCTCCCAGCTTCAAACACAAATAAGGATTTTAAAGTGTTTGGAGGATAAGTCTCTATAATAGAAAACCTTCGTTGAAACTTAGCAAACTTGGGGAATTTTTAACTAATTTTTGTCTCATACTTTCCTCTCTGATGAAGTAGACAGTATATTAGATAAGATATGTGAAAATGCCTGAGAATAGTGATGGCATACAGGTTTTTAAATGTTTTACTGTTTATTTGCCCCTGTCATGTTTTTATCTTGTCAGTTAATTGATTGTTGTCCAGTACATCCAAAACAGTTTTAATGATGTATAACACACACACACAGAGAGAGAGAGAGAGAGAGAGAGAGAGAGAGAGAGAGAGAGAGAGAAAAGTATATATACTATATGTATTGATATATAGCATGAAAGGCTTAAGATCAGTGGGAACTGTATTCTTTGTTCAGAGGTTCCCCTTGCCCACAATTCAGAGTTCAGGTTTTAAGCAAGTTTTTGTTATAATATTCCCTTAACTGTTCTAAATATGAATATTACTCTCTTAGACACCTATTACTTCATTAATGTACCACCTATATTTTGTAGAGAGCTTTAAGAGCTGATTTTACTATAGCTGTAGGTAAAGATTCATAAAAGCAAACCAGAAAACAGTTCTTACGCTTTGTTAAATTAGCTACTCAAGCTTATGGTGAAGTTAACTTATATCACGCAAAATATGTGCAAGACACTTTCACCCAGTACTCTTTAATTTCTTATTTTCCTAGATAACTTTTTTTCCTTCAAATATTCTTTTTTGATAGGGGACAGGATAAATTTAGTTTGTCATTAATTTGGTTGACAGATCTTAAACTAATGTACTTACAAAGCTATATTATAAAATAAGCATTAAGTATTTTATTCAACTGATATTGATAAATGATAGCAGATTAGTTAATATTACTTAGATTTTTCTAGGTGAAATAGAAAGTTTACTATAAAAAATAATATGGCGTATACATAAGATTCAGAAGGTTTTCTGCATGCATAGAGGGTGGCTTTAAAATCTATGTTTTATACGCTAGCGATGGATTTGTTTGGCCCCACTGTTTTTACTTTTGTGTTTGTATTTGGAGTTGTAATAACAGAAGGCGAAAATGTAAATATTACAAATTCATTTACATGACATTTCCTGGTCACTTATCTGTACAGCAGATACACAGAAATGTTTCCTATTTTGTTGTCTTAACTTTAAAATGTGGATATTGTTCAGTATTCTGTTAGAGGAATAACTTTATTAACTTTAATTTCAGTAATAAAGTATAAATGTATCATAAAATTCTGATTCTGTGACTTATAAAATGTATTGGCTGGGGCAGGTTTTTTAACCTCTCTAAACTTCAGTTTCTGTGCCTACTAAATATGAGTATAATAATAGTACCTAGTTTATACATTGTTGTGAGGATTAAAATGTTGATTGCTTGAGCTGTGCTCAGCGCATGGTACAAAGTAGTCAAGAAAAGTTCCTATTATTAATAATAAGTACTGTATTGGCCTGTGTAATTTAGTTATAGTTTTTGGTAGATAGACCGTAAGGTATCACATAACTTATGGTCAAGTTGAATGCTTGGTATTATTTAGGGTCTATGAATGTGAACTCACAGTAACATCTTTTTTTTTTTTTTTAATTTGGCTGCGCAGTGCGGCTTGCGGGATCTCAGTTCCCCGACCAGGGATTGAACCTGCACCCTCATCAGTGAAAGTGCGGAGTCCTAACCACTGGACCGCCAGGGAATTCCCAGTAACATCTTAAAGGAGGTTTTTGTTTTGTTTTTTAAACATGCAGCAATTATAGAAAAACAAGTGCTAAGAAAGTGGTGCACGGTGGTTTGGAAATAACAAATTTATGATCTAAATAGCTTTTATAGAAGTCACTGATGACCTCAAAGTATCTAAAGTCTCAGTCTTGATTTACTTGACTTACCAGTCATACTGATTTTGTGGATCACTCTCTCCCTCTTTGCTACATGCTTCACTTGGCTTCCAAGATACCACAGCAGTCTCTATTTTCTCCCTCCTTTACTGCTTGCTTCTCAGTCTCCTGTACTCCACAGTCTCATTATTAATAAGTGGTGTATCCCAGGACTCAGTCCTTGGTCCTTTTTTATTTGTCTACACTCACTCCTTCAGTGATCTTATCCAGTTTTATGGCTTTAAATACCACCCATATACTCACAACTCATAACATTATGAAACTTTCAGCTGAAAGATAATTTGCTGCATTTAACAATTGAAATTCCTAGAAGGATGTCTCCATCATTTTGCTTATCACTTTAGACATTCCAGGTTGGTGAAGTCTTTCCAACCTCCTTCCTTTTTTTTCTTTTTCTTTTTTTTCATTGGTGGGTGCATTTTATTTGGAGATTTAAAAACAGTTAGATATTTAGAAGCAGTTTATAGTGAGAGTAAAATCAAGTCCAATACTTCATTCCTTCTTGGCAACTAAAGTATAAAGTGTTCAGGAAAAGTTAGGAAAATAAGCCATTCTATACATACTTTTTTCCACCATGATAATTGTAATGGGAAAAATTGGATGTTGGCTTGTACCTGTTTATTCAGAAAGAGTAGGATAAATCACTTTTCTCTCTACTGTCCTCTGATGCTAACTTTTTACGTACAGACAACGCAAGTCAGTTCCAGTATTACAGCTGATTCACATATTTTAAGCCAGTGATACTAGAGATGTGGGAGATCTGGTAACTGAGCAAGTTCTGGGGGCTTAGCTTAAGATTTACTTGAAAGCTGTGTCTGCTCTACCTCTTTATGCAGTTTCATATGAAACTTGGGCAATAAGTTTTTTTTTTAGTTTCTCTTTTAGGAGCTGGGATTTTCACTACAGCTACCGTTTTAAACCCCAGTAATCAGTCTGATTTTCGCCCATTACCACATTTAGGTTCTTTTAATTCTCAATTATTGGTCTTATTGCTTTCTGCCCTGAAATCCAGTAGATCTTTGTGACTTTAGCTCCTACTTTAGCTCCTACATTGCTTAGCATTTTTCTTCCTCGTTCTTGAATATTTTGTGGTGGTGGTGTTTTTTTCCTTTCAGTGGGGCTATGACTTTTAAATGTTCTCCTGTCATCTCTGTGCATTTGAAAGTAGGG